TGTGTGTGTGTGTGTGTGTGTGTGTGTGTGTGTGTGTGTGTGTGTGTGTGTGAGTTGATAGGGGAACCCAATAACGAGGATCAAGATGTCTAAGATGATTCCTGGATTAACCAAGGTAGGAGTAGAGAAGAAAGACTTTGGGGAGAAAGATAATTGTATACTGAGTTTGATGTGCTTGTAGAATATCCAGGATAGACAGTAATGTGGGTCTAGACTCAAGAGAGGAGCCTGAGTTCAGACATCTCAGTTTCTCTGTGGAGGACAGCTTTGGGAGGCCAAAGGTAAACATGGTTCAGAGTTGCCAGATGGGAGCAGACAAAGGTTAACAATAACCCTTGTTGCATGACGCCCAACACTGTCTTCTGAGAAGTATGTTCAGAGCTCTTATGGGTGCATCTTGGTGACTGTAACACTCACTTCCATAAGTCTTTGGCAGTTGCTAACATGTTTTAGTGTTTGGAATCCCTATTTATTGTACCCCTTGGGTTCTGCCTTTTCTAGGTCATTTTGATTGATTTATTCGTTCTTTCATTAAGTATTTTGTGAAGGCCTGCTACATTCCAGGCACTTGGGACATAACCAGGCACACGGTGGACACTCATGGAGATTGTAGTCAAATCCCAGATATGGACATTTAGATTGGACTTGAAGTGTGCTCATGAATTAGCCTGGAGAAGGCATAGATGGGGGGAGCAGGGGAGTGGGGTATGCTCCAGGCAGAGAGGACTTGGTGTGCTGGCTCTGTTTTGAGAAGGAGCGTTGCATGGTCAGAGAGGCAGTGTGACTGTATGCACAGCAGTGATGGGGGCCGCCCAAGTTGAGACGGGAGACTTTTTGGAGGCCATGTTCCTGAGAATAATGGGAAGCATTAAAGAGTTTTATGTAAGAGCATAATGGGACAAGACGTGCATTTTTAAGACTACTCTGGATCTTCTTAATGAATCCAGAATGGATTTGCAAGGACTAAGTGAAGGAGAGACCATTAGGAAGCTGACGCAGCAGCCCAGGAAGAGATGTTGGAGACTGAACCAGGATGCAGGCATCCAGAGAGAAGTGGATGGATTTGAGTCACTTGGGATTTAATGTAATATCTTTAAGACGCATTCATATTATAGCATGGATCAAAATTTCATTTTTAAGGCTGAATAGTATTCCAGTGTGTGTGTGTGTGTGTGTGTGTGTGTGTGTGTGTGTGTGTGTGTGTGTGTGTATCTCTATCTCTATCTCTATCTCTATCTCTGTCTCATCTCTATTATATTTTGGTTATCCATTCATCTGTAGATGGACATTTGGGTTGTTTTAATCTATTGGCTATTGTGAATAATGCTGTTATGAACATGGGTGTACTGGGTATTGACATTTTCTATCTTCAGTAGATCATAGGATCTATGTTTTATTCATCTCATTTCTATCTGGCACTTAGCAATGCCCAGTGCTTTGTAGACCCTCAACACTGACATGTGAATGAAGGACTTACAATTTATTTATTTTATTTTTACTTAACAAATACTTAGAAAGTACCAAACAATCTAAATGCTTAAAAAAATTAATTCATTTAATTTTACTAAAACCATGGTGAGGTACAAAACTACCAATAAGCCTGTTTTGTAGATGAGGGAAGTGAGGCAGAGTTAGTGTTAGAGCTGGAGGTTTGAGCCCAGACAGTCAGATCTAGGTCTCGACTCCTTGCCACCCTGCTACGTTGCCTCTCTGGTCCAGCTGACTTGGCCTGCATATGTATTCAGATGAGTGGAAACCGTGAGAACTGCTAGGGGAATTCAGAAGAGGGATGCTTCTCAAAATGCTCTTTTATGTCAAAATAGGGAAGACTGCATTTTGGGTACAAAGGAGTTTGGCTAAAAGAACAAAACAAAACAAAAACCCCCAAATTATATAACCAACCAAACGAATCCAAACCTACTGTTTCCATGTTTGAAAACTGTGGGAACGATATGCTGAAAATTCAGGTGGTTAGATGATGGTCAGAAATGCAGCTGGTGGGGGCGTCCCTTCTCTCAAGTAGTACTTTTTCAGTAGTCTTTCAGGCAATGTGTTGGCATTGTAGCTGTGAAGACAATAATGAAAGTGTATTGGAAGAGAAACTGTGGAAGCAAGTCCTCAAGCTATGGAGGGAGGGTGGGTAACGGGCGGTCCAGGTATGTCAGATGCTGCTCCCTCACTGGACAGTGCAGCCCCATGCTCCCCTTCGTGCCAGCACCCGAGGTCCCTCATCCGTCGAGGGTCAGTCCCTGTTCCTTAACAGGATGCATGTTATAACTCCAAGATGTTTTCAGTTTGCTCCAGGGTACAGATGTTTAGATTCACCCTCCACTCATAGTGTTCCTTTCCGCCATCTACTCCCAAGGTAGTGAGGGCTCAGGAGTGGCTCAGGTCCAGGGAGAGTTGGCTGTGTCAGCAGTGCACAGCAGAATCATGACTGCTGTGGCCTTTTTGTTTAGCGTCACCCCTTGTGTCTGGTGTACTGTCATTGCCACCTGTTTAACCTTTAACCATCTCCTGGCTATAGCAAACCTGCCACCTTCTGGAGAACATTCCATTTCGGTTTCTTTGCTTATGCTGGTGTGTAGCTCTGCACATGGTCATGGTTACATCTATGTAAGTCTGACTGAGGGTTGCTGATGTTTCCAGGTTCCCCGAGACAAGAGGCTGCTGTCTGTAAGCAAAGCAAGTGACAACCAAGAAGACCAGGACAAAAGGTAGGTACAGTGTTATTATGTACAGGAATATGCCTGGCTCCCAAAATAACTCTTATTCTCTGTTTTTTGAAAACAGCAGTATTAAACAGCAGTATTTTGTTCTGGAGAGGAGATGGGGCCCAGAAGCATAGCTTCCTCTTTCTGTCCTTTGGAGTCTGGCCCCAAACTGGATCTCTTAGTAGGGAGAGCAAATTGCATTTTTTGGTTGTGCATCCAAAGGGTCATCCAGCAGGCTCCTGATACACTACCCTCTTCCAACGAGGCTGAAAATGGCCATAGTTAGAGGTGATATGTTGGCAAGATAGTGCCCTGCTGGGGTGAACTCTTCTGTCAGTCCCATGGCTGTGTAACTGATTAGGCTCTTGAAGGGATGAGACACTTGAGGCTGCTTTTGATGCGGGGAGAGGAAGGAGGCAGGGCCCTTTCTCAGCCCAGGGAGGAAGCCCACGCTGGGTAGCCGCCCACACTGTTAGGGTACAGGGGCAGATCATTATGTAACACCCCTTCCCTGCAATCCTGAAATAATAACCAATTGGAAAACAAGACATAGACAGATTGCAATTATAAAGGAAAAAAAATATCAGTTTTATTTCTGATGAAGCCAGTTAGAGAATTTGATTTTGAATCCGCAATTTGTAACATTTCAGCCCTGCCTTAGACTCGCTTGCTCATCTAGTCCCAGGCAGGATTCCAGGCCTCCCTGAAGGGACAGACCACTTGTGACATGGCAGGGATGGCTGGATTGTCCCCACTCTTTGGGCGAGATGATCCAGACATAAAGAGGAAACCAGCACTTCTCCCAAACTCACCAATCAAATATATCTCTTCCCCTGCAGAGGGATGGAGATGCCGCAGTGTTTTTCTATTGAAGGTTTTTTTCAAATGGAAATATGAAGCCAAGAGAAATGACATCCCCTGCTAAGCACATACGTCAGAATCTTACCTGGCCTTGATAAGAACTGCTTGTGACATCGTGATCTTATATGACTAGCAGTGGGGGCCACCCCACCAACCAGCAGCTCTAGGCTGTGTGGATCACCTTCAAGGTCCACCCCAGCAGAAGGATAAGGCTGTCTGCATCTGATTTGTAGTCCACAGGGATCTTCTGAGGCTCCATGCCGCCCTGGGGCCCTGGGCCCTAGTTGGTCGCAGGGATGACAGGGAGACACTCTTCAGGTCCTGGAACTTTTCTTCCACCCAGCCAGTATTTATTAAGCTAAGCAAATGCTGCCTGTTAAGTCCTATACTAGCAATCATAGAGGGGTCGGGGAAAAACAAATCTAAGATGTGTGCTCTGTCTGCATCATAATAGACAAAAGAGGCCATGTTTTCTTAAAGCAACTTTTAGAACACCATGAGAAAGTGACCGCCTCTTATGGTTATCTTTGTGACTTAATGGAGCATGTTTTAAAAAAGCTAGCAGTGAGGTACAGGCAAAAGCACCTTGTATAGACTAATTATGACCTAGTTGAGTCTGATTCAGTGTAATTTGGAAGGATATCATTAGCTCTGAAGTGCATTCATAAACTAAGGTGCCATGTGCTAACATGATATTACAACTGTTTGTATACAGAAGTTGCTGCTCTGAAAAGTGGAATGTCAATGACATGATCCAAAAATTTAAAAAATGTACACTTAATGTGCTATTCTTAGCATTGCATTTTTTCTCGTGTTATATTTTGTTCAATTTTAAATTCTATTGCAGGTGAGTCAGTATCTCACAATTCTTACTTTGTTCTAATTAACCTTTTTTTGAATGTCTTTCTGGAGTTCTCTAGCATCAGCTTTGAAAGCCAATGATGTTCTACAGAGGCATAGTTACACATTATAGGATGGTGCTGAGTCTGTTACTGCCTTGTCATATAGTAATAACGAATCAACTAGATTTATGCAACTCTATAGCTTACTTGTTTATTTGTTTATAAGAATACCCCAAGTCTTTTGACTTGTGTTTTCTATTTAGAATTCAGGTGTTTTTAATTAATTAAAGAATTAAGAAATTTGCACAAAACTGGACTCTAACTATAGAACAGTTGGTTAACTTTGAGCATTTTGGCAAAGACAATAAGATTGCTTGTGCAAAAAGCCCGGAAGCGTGGAAACTGGGTAATTGCTTCAGTAGCTAATCAATGTAGACTAATCCTTCTACACCCAACTTTCAGGACATTATTCACAAGTAGTAATAGTTAATTTTCCACAAAAGGGCCTAGGGTAAAATGAATTTCAGAAATTCTGGGTTCCAACTGAACAGGTGAAGGAACACTTGGGGGGCCGTTAACCTAATCTTGATGTTTGTGACCTACCAGGGTGGTCTTGTTATGGCAATGTGTTTTTTTTTTGTTTTCTTCTGTTTTAATACTGATTTTATCAGGGACTCCTTTCTTTGAGGAACATCTATTAACATTCCATGCAATGTTCTAAATAATGGGGTTTAGGAAATGCTGATATAAATGGGTGGTCTGGGTTTTGGCATCTTCCAGATAACTGGATTTAGATTAAACATAGTTTCTAAATTTTCACTGTGTCTTATATACAGATTCACTGATTGATTTGGCCCTGAAAGCAGGTTATTACTTAAAGCCAGAATGTTTGTAGACTTACGATTTTATTCTTTAAAGGATTATTTTCTAGAATGATTTCTACAAATACGTGACAGACTCACAGACGTTTAGATATTTTTCTGTTGGCTTTGTTCATGTGGAGCCATGCTTTCCTCAAGCTTCACTTTGAAGTTTTATCTGAAAAAAATCAAAGCTGAAATGCCAAGTTCTGCTTGAGAGTTAGGCAAGCTCACAGGCTAATGAACTTCCTTTACAGAGAGGAGCCAGGGGAGCTCAATTCTTGGAAGAACCAATTTTATTAGAATATTTCTCTCCATGAGAGATGCCGGTAAGCCCTAGATAGAACATGCTTGTTTAAGAAAAGCAGACGTTGGAGACAGAAGTCAGTGCAAAACATGTATTTTCTCTATCCATCAGAATAATCCATAAGTAAGTGAGAGGTGGCCCCAAATTTTACTGACCACAGGGACTTCGCTAGTAAAATCATTTTGCTGTCAACAATTATGTTCCATTAATGAGTCTCTTTGCTTCTGCTCTCTCCCAGAAATCTTTATTGTAAGTAACAATATTTCATCCTAGCCTGACAAGAATTAATTTTCTAAATCCTCTCCTTTTGTTTTGTACCAGCTAGGATGTCTGCTAGCTGAAAGATCTTGTTTTACATAAGCCCAGTTACACCACTTCTTTAAGCCCCCGAAGTAATTCAATGCTAAAGATATCAATAAGCTCATGTGATTTCTTATTTAGTGAAATTATTTTAATGATAAATTCTCATTGTCTTATTTTTCCTACAATTTCTAAATTTTGAGTTTAGCCCACAGAGCAGTGAAAAATATCTTTTCCACCCCCCTTCAAATTACCATGTTAGTTTTCCTCCCACCTTTAAAAAAAAAAGCTATTTTAAAATGTTTTCTCTTAAAAGTTTTCAAACATATACTGAAGTAAAAAGGATAGTATAGTGAATCCCCAAATACCCATCGCCTCCTCCAGGCTCAGCAGTGAACCTTTTTGTTACACCTGCTTAATCTCTACCTTTTCTCCCTCTCTCCTTTTTTTCTTTATTGTGATAGTATTTACAGTAAGTCCCTGACATCATGTCATTTTACTTCTAACTGCTTATGATTTATATCTCTTAAAAAAAAGACATTTTATTACATAACCAAACTCCTGACCACACTTAACTAAATTCCTTCATATCACCTAACTCCCAGTTCATATTCAATTGCCTCAAAAATCTCATTGCTTCATAATGCCTCTTTGCTTTGTTCAGATCAGGATCCAAACAAGACCTACTCATCATATTTGATTGTTATGTCTTTTAAATCTCTTTTAATCTAGAACAAGCCTTCTACCCTTCTTCCTTTTTTCATGCCCCTGACTTATTGAAGAAACCAGGTCAGTAAGATGTGTTACATTCTGGTTTGTCTGATTGCTTCTTTTTGATATTGTCTAAGTCTTTCTTCCAGCTCCTGTATTTCCTGAGAGCTGGAAGTTAGATAGAAAGACTTACTTAGATTTAAGGTCATTTTTTTGTTTTATTTTTTGTAATAGCACTTATAGGTGGGGCTGATTGCATGACACCATGAGGCACACATGTGTAGTTGTCTTAACTCCTAGTGATGCAAAGATCCATTGCATCCCACTGTAAAGTTCACCATCAATCTTTCCTCTAATGGCATTTGCATCCACTAATTAGTGCCTGCATCCGTTATCTTATGAAGTTACAAAATGGTGATTTTTCTAATTCTACCATGTTGCGGGGTGGGTTTCCACACACAGAAACTGTCTCGGCACCAGTGAAGCCCAGAGTAATGTGAGTGGAGGAGAAAACCGAGTGCAGGTCCTAAAGACCGTTCCAGTGAACCTTTCCCTAAATCAAGACCACCTTGAGAATTCAAAACGGGAACAGTACGGCACGAGCATCCCCGAGAGCCCTGCCATCATCCCTGTGTCGGGAATCACGGTGGTGAAAGCTGAAGATTTCACACCGGTTTTCATGGCGCCACCCGTGCACTACCCACGGGAAGATGGTCAGGAGCAGCGTGTGGTTATCTTTGAACAGACTCAGTATGGCGTGCCCTCCATGGCCAGCCACAGCTCCTACCTCAAGGATGACCAGCGCAGCACCCCGGACAGCACTTACAGCGAGAGCTTCAAAGACGGGACCACAGAGGTGAGTCCCTGGCTCTTTCCCCCAGTAGCTAGAACCCAAACCCAGAAACACCAGCTATTTTTTTTCCCTCTATTTGCTTCTTAAGTGGGGTAAATGAATTCAACTGTGAATTTAGGGTTATTTTTAAAAAGGTGTTTGTATCTTTCAGTATAAACAGGTTTTAATAATCCATTGGTCTAGGTATGTGGAGGAATATTTCTTTTTTTTTTTTTATTCCTTGAGTACAGACAGATTCTTTTGTTTTAGCGTTAGTCTTAAAATTAAATATTCATGAGAAATGAAGTGATGTTTGTGTGGAAACTTCGTACTTTGTTAAGTTTTCACCTTGACCTCTTCTGGTTTATAACCTTCCAATGGTAGCTAAAGATGTTGCCTGCCCGTTCTTTTTTAAAACAATACTACTCTTTATGACATTGTCTGATTGAATACTCAAGAAAGAATATGTATTTTCAATAATCAACTGTGTATATATATGTACTTGTTACCTTATAGAGACAACGTATTCTCATGTGCCTATAGAATTTATAGAAATAATGATATCTTCTTGCTTGCTTGTTTTAAAATCACGTTTTAAAGGCAGTTTGAAATTGTAGGTATTGTATATATAATAATTGTGTCACCAACATCAGAATCAATAGAAAGTCCCATCACCCTAAAGAGTCTCTTGATTCTCCTTGAACTTGAAGCCCTTTCCTCTCCCTTGCTCTTGCAAGCACCAAACTGCCTTCTGTCAGTCTAATTTTGCTTTTTCTAAAATTTCATACAAATGAAATGATAGAGTATATAGTTTTCTATGTTGTCTTCTTTCACTTAACATGATATTTTTGAGATTCATCTGTGTTGTTGTTTGTATTAATAGTTTTTTTTTATTGCTAAGTAGTATTCCATGGTAAGCATACATCACAATTTATGATATATAACCTCAGTTGCTATCTATTGTGGGTCATCGCTCCAATTTTTGACCCAGAATATGTAATGTATTTTTAAAAATTTAGGTCAACTTCTTCAGCATTTAGGTGCAGTGCCTCTGCATTTGAGATGACTATCTTTGGCTTCCCATTTCTTCAGTCCACCTGCACCAAAAAAAGACAATGGCAGAAGGAGAAAACTTGTGGCTTCTAATTTCCTAAACTAGAGGGAGTGTTGGTAGCAGCATGCCAGATTTTTGCAGCCCACTGTTTATTTAGTGGCCACTGGGACAAAATGCAGCTACCTGAGGTTGAGATTGCATCCCTAAACAATAATATTTAAAAATAATAAATATTTAATGCTCACATACTATGTGCTAGGCATCAATCTAAGTGATATATGCTCATTTAATCTGCACAAAAATCCTATGTGGCAGGTACTATTATCTTCATCTCCATTTCCCAAATGTGGAAACTAAGGCGCAGAGAGCATAAGCATACCCATGGTCATACTGCAGTTAGTGTAGAGATAGGACTCATCACACACTGTCTCCTCCAGGACCCATCTCCTTAACCATTTTCTCTACACTCTCAGAGATGCTGTGTTGGGCCTTCTAATCTCAGTAGTTCCATGCTTAAGACAGTGATTCACCCACTTGTTGTTTTTTTTTTTTCAAATCTGCATCTCCTTTATGTCATTAGGTATTTCTTATCTTTCAGATGGGGAGAAGAGGAACAAAAGGGACTAGCTTTCTGAAGCGCTGGTAGAAAGTCAGGGTAGACAACTTACACTAGCAGCCCTTCCACTGCTGGCACCGGTCATTCCTGAGTGCTCGCTGTATTCTGTGAAATTGGAAAATGAGCAGAGAGAGGCATAATAAATTCCCGGCCCTTACAAGGCCATTATATTTCTTCGACTCTGGTAGCTTTATAATCAAACTTTCAATGTCCTTGTAAAAGTACAAAAAAAAGTCTTCAAGTTAGTCCCCTTAGCTTCCTGTGCTGTATTTCTTAAAATAGTTAGCAAACGTTTTTTGTTTGTTTGTTTGTTTGTTTTTAAACAGCCAGGGATCTTGTAGGGTCTTTGGTATTGTTGAATATTTGATTTGCCCTCAAGCAGCCAGGGGTGCTTCCTTAGGAAAAGCAAATCATTCCACATGGGAATGTGAAGTGCATGCTTTTTCACTAAAGGGTTGCCACTGATGTTTTTCTCCCATGGTGTAGAAATACTCCATTAGTCACAGAAGAGTCCATGGATGTGGTCCAATGTCAACGGAACCATCATGCTATTTGGGGGATGTGTTATCAGTTGTGTCGTGTTGTAGATAAAGAGGCTTGTGAAAGGAAGCTATTGTATTTGGGTTTTATTTTGCGGTGCATGAGAAAGTAGCTTACCAGAAACTAAATGTGAAGATTATTCCCACTGAATTTGGAATATTTTAGCTGCTCTGCTAGTCTTGGAAATCAATGTTTACACTGCATGCTGTATTTCAATCTGATGTGAATTAAATGGAACGCTTTCTTATGATCTTTAGCCATGGCATTGCCTACAGGTTTATAAGATTAGGTGAGCTCAAAGTAATTTCACCAAGTAAATTGCTCTAAGGAAAATTGGTATACAATCTTATACTTCTTTTAGGCCAACTCTTAAAATGCCTAGGACCCTTGTTGAATTAGCAAGTTTCATTTGCTATTAGAGACTGATTCATTTGTGTGTGTGTGTGTGTGTGTGTGTGTGTGTGTGTATGTGTGTGTGTGTGTGTGTGTGTGTAGTGGTATCAGGAAGGGAGTAGTTCCATCCAAATGATGAAGAAATGTACATCAAATCACAGTAAGATGATGTTGATGATGTTGGCTGTCTGCCTGCCTTTGGGCATCCTAGAAATTATATTAAAAGGTTTCCAAACACTTGTGGGAACTTGGTAAATGTAGGCGGATGGCCCAAGCATTTTGATTCTACTTCTTAGTACTAAATCATTTAGGGCCATGTGATCAGGTCTCATAAAGGATCATGATATTTTCCAAGTGGACCCTACATTTAAATGTTTTTTAATTATAAAAATTGTAACAGAATTAAGGGAAAACATTTTAAACTTGAAAACAATAATTCTGTTTCTGTAACATATCAACTATTTTTTTTCATAGCTCTTGTTCATATACAATCATAGTTATTGGAGTAAGATTCTTTATTTCAGTCAGCATATAGTGGACAGTTTCTTAGAGTCTGAACAGCTATAGTGTATCACACCTTTTCACATACCTGGGGGATTAGAACTATAGAATTTATAAGCCCAATATATTTTTGTAGGCCAGCCTGTCCTCATGCTGCAGAGTTCTAGGTCATGAACAATAAAATCATTCAAGGCCATGTTTATTAATACTGGTTCACCATGTGTTGTTAAGAGTTGGTTACTGCATATTCCTTCAAAGAAGATCTTGGAAATGCATCTCCTCTATCTCTAAGTCACTTCCTTCAATTCTTTTTCCATCATGTTGCACTCCTACTCCAATATTTCCTAATTCTTAATTATACTAAGTGTAAATACTTTTTAATAGATCAGCCCTGTCCGGTAGAACTTTCTGCAACAATGAAAATTTTCTTTCAGGCTACTAACTGCATGTGTCCAGTTAGTATTTGAAATGTGGCTTTTTGACTGAGGAACTGAATGTTTAATTTTATTTAATTCTAACCAACTTCAACACATGTGGCTAGTTGTTACTGTATTACACAGTGAAGACCTGGATTTTTCAGGTCTTCCCTTCATAAATAGGTGAGGCCTGTGTCCTTGGCCCTATTTCGTACCACATACTTACCCATCATTTTGTCTTAAATAATGGTGGTCCTCTCTCACCTGGATTACTTTCTCTCAATTCCTTCAATTAATCCAGATTGTCTTTAGCTTCCAAGGGTCAGAGCAAAGTTCACAATCTCCATGAAAACTTCCTGTAATTTTGCTAATCTTTCTATCCTGGTAATGCCCGTTCTGTACTTTTCCAGTGAGGACACCTGAATGAATGAATGAATGAATGAATGAATGAATGAATGAATGAACGAGTGAACGAGTGATGCAACATAAACTTTCATATGTAGTCATTTACTGTATTTAATTTATTTTGTTCTTCTTTTTCATGTGAATTTATCCATCCCCTCAACCAATTTTAATCTTTCTCAGGACAGGACAGTATCTTATTTATTTTCTGTATTTCTCCTGGCATCAAGTAGATGAAGTCCCAGAAAAATTCCCATTGAGTGCTTTGTTGAATGATTGGCTATAAAAGAAACATAAATCTGAGTCTTTGATCCTCTGTCATGATTACTGAACCAGTCAACAAGTATTTGTGAAATGTTCCTGGGATGCATTTGGTAAACTTTGAAGGGCAAACTATCTTCTTAGATCCAAGGAATTTACAAGACTGGATAGAAATAAGGATCATATAAGCTGTGATATAAGGGTATACTGAATCCTAGGGATGGTGGCTAAGGACTGTGAAGAAAGTTTGTAAAATAACTGTGAGTAACCCTTTTCTGAGAAGGAAACCTTTGAACTGCTGGTCAAAGAATCGAAGTTTATAGCAGAGAAATGAGGAGCAGGAATGTTGTTTTTTGGAAAGAGACACTTGAAAAAAGGTCACAGTGGAAGGACCAAGTGTTGTGTGGTCAGCCAAGTGTTATATTCATTCTAGGATCAAGAGTTAGGGCTTTTGTACATCTTTTGAAAAAGTTCTAAAATGTAGCAACTAAATATATGTTGTATATTTACTTGCACTAAATATACAACAACTGAACATTGCTGGACCCAAGCTTCTTCGCATGTAATACTGAGACTTAGAGTTTCCCCCCAAATCTGACTCTTACAATGTTGTAACAATGAGATCTTAGAGAAGGGCACTGAATATGGTCAAGCTATTACTATATAATAGAATTTAATACACAAATATAATGCTTACTATGTACCAGGCACGGTTCTAGTACTTCACCTCTATTAGCACATTTAATCCTACTCACAATAAATAGGCATTTTACAGATGGAGAAAATATGTCAGTTTTGACAGGTAGCAGGCAAAAAGCTAGAACTTCACCCTAGACAGTCTCACTCTAGAAACTGCTCCTAACCACTCTGCTATACTGCTTTTGCTATGCTATGTGGTTTCCCTATAATTAGTGTTCCATTAACTCAGAATTTGTTACTTTGGAATAACTGTTAGAAATAATGGAAGAGATGTCTTACATGTTTGAAGAAGCAGTTTCAGTACCCGCAAACACTTTAAGAACACCCTCAGACTTGTGAATAATATACAAAATGCAAATGCATTTTCTGTTGAGTGTAGTTCTCATTGTGCAAGTGATATGCGTGTTCTATGCGCAAATGGTAACTATTTTCACTGCAGTCGAAAACATAATACCACCAAGTGTATAATTTTCCTTTCTAAAGTGAGGATAAAACAGTTTGGATACACTTATTACTTTTTTTATTTGTCGTAATGGCTCACCAATTTGTTTTAATTTTGATAATTTAAAAATTTTGCAGAAATTTCGGAGTGCTTCAGTTGGGGCTGAGGAGTACATGTATGACCAGACATCGAGGTAGGTTATCAGATGCTCCTGGAAAATGATGAACTGATGACCCTTTAAATGTACTCCCAAGCTATATTTTTAAACCTTTTCCCTCTGTACTTTCGTTGAACAATCTAATTTCCTTTGTCTTCAATTCTTTTCTTTACACAAGTGGCTTCTAAAACAATAGTGTTTCCAGTCTTGACCAATTTTCTGAGGCCTCTACCCTGTCTTTGTCCTTCTGTTGACTAGACATCCCTTCTTAGGTGTCCCTCTGAGCCCCAAACTTGTGCCCATCCAACCAACACGTGCATAACGGAACTCTTTATCTTTCTTTTCCTCTTGTTTCCTTCCTTCTCCGCTTCTTTCACATCTGGCCTTCTGCTTTTATTTTCTATTGTGGCGCATGATGTAACCACCCTCCCAGCCACCCACTCTAGAGGTGGAAGGTTCTGCCTGCATTTTCACATCACTTGCCCAGTGCTGAGTGTTCTGTTCTACCTGTCCTGTCCCTTCCAACTTACTCTTGTCATTTTCTCCTGAAGTGTTGCAACATAAACTGATCTCCCTGCCAACACTGTCTTTCTCCTTCTGTTCCACTTTGCACATATCTAACTACCAGGTAGCCCACACGCCGTTGCCTTCCATGTACCAGCAATACGATAGGGATTAGGGATAAGAGGTAACCTCTCCTTACGAAAGGCGCTTAGACTTTTGGAGGATACAAATGTGGCGACAGACAAATTGCAATACATTTGCTAAGAGATGAGTCCTGCTACAGAGATACACAAACAGAAAGCTGAGAGGACCTGCAGGCCTGGGTGGGGCTGAGGGTAGGTGGCACAGCTTCACAGGAAATGGCATTCGAGCTGGCTCTTGAAGGATTAGCAGCAGCAGGAGTTTTCCAGGGAAAGAGAATTAAGAACATTCTAGGTAGAGGGGCTAGATGTTCAAAGACTTTGGTTTGTGACCATGCCTGAAGACAGGAGAGAATGGCAAGACATGAGTTAATTTCTCTCATTTCCAAACCTTACCAGCGATTTCACCATTGCAGACAGAATTAAACACAAGTTCCTTATGAAGGTGGTCAGGGCCCTCTATTTGCTGGTTCTTCTTTACTTTAACCCCTGTCTCTCACGGTATTTCTTGCCCCTTTGCTTTTACATGCCTGGACGCCTTCTAGCCTCTGTTTCCACTTGAAGTCCTCCTGCCCCTTTAGGGTCTTGCTCCAATCTCAGGCTTCTCGGTCCTCCTCCCCAGAACGTCCTAGTCAGAATTTGGGTGTGTGGAGAGGCAGGAAGTCTAGAGTTCCAAATTGCCTTTTAAAATGTGGAAATACGTGTATAACCTGCATGCTGTAAATCCAGTTCACTATATAATCAGCTGTCAGGTTAGCGAGAAGAGCATCTATCTACCAGTGCCTTGACCTGGGTTCTCTTTCTGCTGCTGCCCATGTCCAGTGGGCTGAGTAAGTTTCTCAGCTGGGATATGAGTAAGGTGTTTCTCATCTTCTGTTAGAGTAGATGGGTAGACTTATAGTAGACACATACTCCCTGAAATTATATTCAAAACCATTTATGTTTATCTATGCTTTTGTTCTAGTAGATGGGTAGACTTATGGTAGACACATACTCCCTGAAATTATATTCAAAACCATTTATGTTTATCTATGCTTTTGTGAACAAAGGTTCACAGCTTCTTTCTTGTTTTTCAAGCAGTCTGTGTCCCAGACAAGTTGCAAGCTGCCAATCTTGGCGATTCCTAATATCCTGTCCAGAGCTCAAGTTTTATGATTCAGTGGCTATATTGAAATTGATTTTTCCAGGCAAAATGACAGTGGAATTGATTCTGTCTTGAATGATTTATTTCCCACCCTGTTTTAAGACACATATCCTGGATTTGTTTATCAGCTAAAGCCTAAGATTTTTATCATGTACGAGGAATATTATTTTGTCCTTCAAATTTTTTCTCATTATAAAAGTTTTAAAAAAATCAAAGATTGCATAAATATTTAACATAGAAAGCTATGCTAATAATCTTGTAAGCAGGCCATTTTAATAAAGAGGCAAACTGAGAGTTATTTTTGACTCCAGCTTTTTAAAGACTATAAAATTCAAGAGCTTAAAAAAAAAAAGGTAGACACAATGAAGAGATTCTCATGATTCAGAAAATATACAAAGCATTTGTCACTGGATCATTACTGGGTGCCATCCTGCAGTATAGCAGAAACAAATGTTTCTGAATGAACATGTACATGAACAAAAGCATTCACACACTTGGTCTGTTGCTAGGATCAAAGTGGCACTCTATCAGTTCTTAAGCTTCAGACATTGCTGACTGCCAGCTGAGACCTAACGGAGGTTGTCCTGGCACAGCCTTGCACAGCTGGCCAGGCGCTTAATGGACTTTCTCCCCTTCTCAGCCACCTGGTTTATGGGCCACTGTTAGGAATGTTATATACATTGTACTAACCATGACCTTTGGTCTGGTTTCTTTCTTTTCTTTTCTTTTTTTTACCATATGCTGTGTTTTGTCTCTGAAATAGGGTAAATATTGGTTAATATTCATTCAAATGATATCGATGTGAAATTGATCAGGAAGGCAGAAAAGTTCAAGTGAGTGAATCTGACCACTGTTTGTTTTCTGTTCACAGTGGCACGTTTCAGTACACGCTGGAAGCCACCAAATCTCTCCGTCAGAAGCAGGGGGAAGGCCCCATGACCTACCTCAACAAGGGACAATTTTATGCCATAACACTTAGTGAGACTGGAGACAACAAATGCTTCCGACACCCCATCAGCAAAGTCAGGGTATGGGCCCCCTTTCTCCAGTAATGCACGGAGGGATCAGATGAATGCAGTTGCTGCCTCACAGCCTTGTGGGAAGGGCACAGAAAAAACTCCAAAATAAATAATTCCAGAACAAATGTCAGAGAGCTAGGGCAAGAGAACGTATTGGTTTGTAGTTTATCATTTTAATCAGTAACCAATAAACCCCAGGGAAGGGACATGGTTGGAACATGTTTTCTGACTGTATCCAAGGAATTTTCCCAGCTTCATTCATTGCCTGTGTGCTACCTAGTTGTTGTTGTTTTCAATCAATTGATTTTAATTTTTCAAGTAAGTAGCTATAAGCCAGAACGTATTGGAACATATTTGCTCCTGCCCTCCTCTATAAAAGAGGATGCATTTCGTACTGTGTCAGGGACCCTTTGCAACTTTGTTTAAAAGCTTTCTGCAGCCCAGCACTTACTCAGGAGCCAAAGGGTGACTGAGGCATGCTATGACCCCTACCAGGAGTTAATTGGAGGAATTTTCACTTTCATCAGTGTTAGTCCTATCTGTGGGAAATGGAAGTGCCCTGGAAGCCTTCCAGCCTCTGGCATTCTCGCTACTGCCAAGAAGGGAAGGAACTGGTAAGCCCTCTCCACTGAAAAGGAAAATTATAGCAGAGCTCTTAAAAGAGGTTGAAGGACTTCCTGCCCTGCTGTAAAATGATTTATGCTGCTGTGTGCATGGTGCCCACCCCGTCTTATTTTACCTGTAGCTACCTCCTCCTTAACTCTTCAGCACACTAAGAGAGGAACGCTGTGCTGTACCCAGAGCACAGGACAGCCGAGTTTATCTCCATCCCAGAGTCCATGCGAAGGTAATAAATGAGGTAAAAGAGAAAGAAGGCTCTTCGGGCACCTCCTGGTAAAATCATGACAGTGGTGGTCTCTGGATCAGCTGGTTTTTCTGGCTTGGTTTTAGTGAAAGAAGACAAGAAAAAACTGCTCATTTCTCCATCCAACAGGCCTTCCTCCCACCAAGGCTGTCCCAGTCCCAGATCGGAGCTGTAGGAGGCAGGGCAGTAGAGAGTGAAGGGAAGATGTAGAACTGATGTCCCACCCAAGGCTGATCATGTTACAGGGAGAATGGTGCCTATCGTGCTGTGTGCCCGCCAAGGGAGTTAGTATGTTCCCACCCCGAGGTCAAGGCTATGGTAAAGGAACGCCATAATAATAATAGCAGTGGTCAAGGCTATGATGGAGGGATGCAATAATAATAATTAGTAATAATAATAATAATAATAATAATAATAATAGGTGGAGGGATGTCATAACAGCAACAACAATGAGCCACAAAAATAACAACTGATAGATGTTTGACTAAATCTTCTATGTGCCGACACTATGTTAACCACCATATATCTAATTTGAAACTAGCAACAACTCTATGAATAGGCACTATTATTTTTATATTACAGTGAGGAAACTTGGCCTTTTAGAAGGTAGTAACTGGCCTAGGGTACCTCGCTAAAATATGAGGGAACCAGGCTATATCCCTGACAGTCAGACTCCCGAACCTATTCTCTTAGCCACAATGGTGCACTGTGTTAAGTAGCATGGAGGCTGAAAGGCATGGGCGTATCAGCCTGGGGTCCACCTCTGAATGTATATCCTAGAATGCACATGCAACACCCTCACATGTGGATGGATGCCTGGTAAAAACACACGAGATAATTTTTCTTTTTTTTTTTATCTCGTAAATTTCCAGTAAGTGTATAACTCATATACACCTCCTAACACCATTGTCATCATCGTGAAAAGATGGTGGATGGTTAGTATTCTAAGGCCGTGACAACAGTTTGGAGTACAGGGACTTTTCTAAGAATTCGACTTCATTGAAATGGAGATAATTTAATATGGAAATTTTATTTCCTTCTGTTCTAGCTTGGTTAAAACGAGGAGCACTCTTCCCCTTAAGCACTTCACTCCAACACCCTTGGAGAGTCGGATGGCACCTCTCAGAGTGAATCTTTCTTACTCCTCAGCTCTGGGAGAGAAAGCAGGGGTGCACCTGGAACCTACCAGCATGAAACACTGAGAACAGTGTTTCATTCTAAGCGGAAGCACATAGGCTTGGTTTCAATAGCAGTTCAAACTGTCTTTTTCTTTATCACTTAAGAAAGTGATTTCCATACCAAGAATATGCCATTATTGATGCTAATTTATTCATTTGCTATCAAAAATTTCCCTTAAGTATTATTTTTATTTTGGAACAGACAGAAATAATAGGAGGCCACCCAGTAAAGTTTCACGTGTAAATGGAAAAGTTTGAAGAAGTGGGAGGGAGAAAAATGAGGAGCTGGCTGAGCTCATAGTTCCACCAGCACCGTCAATGGTTCCCTTTCTTGTTATCTCCATGCCTTTGAAGGTCATGCTGCTTGTGAATTCAAATAATAGATGCACATTTCTAAACTAGTTTTTCTAGCAAACATCTGCTGTCTTGTGTAACAAGTGTTCACAATACATTGGGAATAAGCCAGATTTTGAGTTGACTGTAAAGGCACAAGCTTGTATTTGGTATTGACCATGTGTCAGGCATGAGGGCCACTGTGGTGAGTGACACTGTTCCAGTCCTCGTTGAGTTTGAAGTCAATGGGAAGACATTGCTGTCGACTGATAATTGTAAATAATTAAGTAAATGACTACAAGTGTGTAAACTACTACAAAGAAGAAATTATTAAGGAGTAAGAGTCAATGAAATATGCTTATGGAATAGTAGGAAAACATCTAAGAAGCGTTTTGTATGTAGAGTGAGAAGGGGAGAGCCATGTCTGATATTATGAGGTCTGACAATTAAGTTCCTGAACTTATTGTAACGATGTTGCTAAACACTTTTTTGATACCAGAGGGATTATTCATTATAAATTGGTGCCAACTGGACAAACAGTTAACCAAGTTGACTATTTGCAAGTGCTGAAAAGGCTGTGTGAATAAGTTAGATGAAAACAACCTGAACTTGTTGCCAACAATTCATGGCTCTTGCATCACGACAATGCACCAGCTCACACAGCACTGTCTGTGAGGGAGTTTTTAGCCAGTAAACAAATAACTG